TCCTTTTTCTCAATATTTCTTAGTTTACTTAAAATATGTTTAAAATTTTACACATACCTATGATGACCTGGAGAAGTAATTATAATTTACAAATAGTCTTTCTTTCTTGAGTTTTATGATTATAACAACCATTTACTGATAAAAAATTTATATTAATCATGAATGTAAGCTTATAAAGTATCTCTCTGGCTCCCCTTTACAAACAAATAAAATAAACTATGTTTTTAAGTTCCACCTTTGAAAATTTGATTTCTGGAAACTTCTGTGATCAATGATTTTTTGAAACGTCTGAACCATCGAACTCCGGAAACTTCCGGATCACTGTTAGCGAAAATTCCGGAAATCCGGATTTTTTCCGGCACACAATCAGCCCTATATATCAATGCATGCATTATCGGAAGAAAAGTTATCAGCAGATTAATTTTTTTCAAGAATTTGAAAAATTCCTAAAAGATTTTTCCGATTCAAAATGTCTGCAATTGTAATGAGACAGCATTGTTTTGACAATATTTACCAAAAAGAAATTCAACATGCAAAAATTAAGAATTGTTTTCTGGAATGAAGGAATATAACGATCTCATTATGAAATTTGTGCATTTAAATATAATTAGCACAAATAAATTCAAACTGCTTGTAATTGGGGAAAGTTATAAGTATTGCGCATTTAAAGGAATAAAAGTATTTCCTGTGCAAACGTGACTGGATCACAAGTGAAATTATCATGGATTGGTTTTAGACTTTCATGAAAGAATCGTGTAACCATAGAGAAATAAAATGCCAAAATATATCTGATTTTTTGACAATAGCTCGACATATCCAGAAATTATGAAAAGATAAAATGTGACTGTTGTGTATTGAAATCCGAACACTACAAAGCAAACTGAGCCTCAAAATAAAGATATAATAAGATAATCAAAATATTGTTACCGAATGGAATATATGCAGCAATATTTGACTGATATTAATTCGGGAAAGATAGTGACTGAAGTTATGAAAAGCTACACAATTGAAGACACGTTTTGGGCTGTTTTTTGATCTTGGGAAAATGAGCAACAGTCAACTCTGCAAAATGACTGTCATTAAACTTTAGCCTTCATTAGTTTTTCATACTTGACAATGACACAACAACTGATTGACTTTAAAGGCTTTCATATATCATCAGAAAAAAAATTTTAAAATTGTGGGATATGTAAGTAATTTTCAAGTAAATAAAAAACTGAAGAATTGATTAAAGAATGGATGTATGTAGATGCCAATGAACCTATTGTTCATGATTTTACAGATGATGAATTAATTTCATCTGTGCAAAACGAAAAGGATGAAGATGAAGAATCAGATTCTGAATCTAAATCACCACCAGGAAAAAATACAATATGCATGCAAAAAAAAATGGGTCAAAAGTTTTTAAAAGGTTCAGAAAAATTTGAATTTAAGGCAATCAAATAAATTATCAGTCAATAAAGCACCAAAATAATGAAAAAAATTAAATAAATTAAACTTGCTTAGATGTTTAATTAAAAATATAGATACTGAGCTTTTTTTACACTATGTGTTACTAATAATTCTTTCTAACTTTCACTTTCTCATATGGACTTTTTTTTACTTTTTCCTTTTATATCCATTATCTAGAAAAAATTATAACTCGGTAATATATAAACCCTGTCGATACTAGATTATTCATGCTTTACTGTAAAATTGACAAAAAGTAGTAAAACAAAATAAATGCCTTAAAAAAATTCAGAGGACAATATTGAGAGCAATTTTATTTAATAATAATACACTGCTGCATAATTAATAATATTATTGACTAAATTCTACTTTAAATGGAGAATTAGTATCAAATGTCATGATTATAGAAGGTTATAGAAATAATGATTATGGAAGATTAATAATATTAAGTTTGAATTAACCCATCAGCAGTTCCGAATGTAGTAATTTTATTTTATTTAATTGTGTAATATGAAGAAAATCTCACTAAATTTTTTGCCTACTAACAGTCCTGCACTTAATAAAGGCCTTTAATAATAATACACTGCTGGGTCAGAAATTGCCTGAAGAAATTCACCTACTAAAAATTTGATAAGAGAAAAATGATCGCTAATGCCATAGTTTTTTTATTGGTAGAAGGGGAGGAAATTAACTTGACTCAGAGTTGTATAACATTATTTTAACACTTGGAAGATGAAAATAAAACAATGTAAAAACTGCTAGTTGGTTAAGCAAAATTTAACTAAAAATGAAACTGCCAGTGATTACTTACACCCTATGAAATACGCTAAATATCTTAGAAGATATGCAAAAAAATAATCAGCGCATTCTCTGGGATTAGCATTTCAAATTGCTCAAAAAATCTTTTTTAACCTTAATTATTGCCTTTTTATTGGAAATAAATGGTAACTAAAACGTACTAAAAATAATCTATTATTCGATTATATTTCTTTACCAGAATACGATCATTTCATATTACTTGTTATTTAAAGTAATGCATAAGCTTATATTTCATTTTTAAATTCTTACCATACAAGTAACATTCATACTATTCAGTTTTCTGCAATACTTGTTATCCAACTTTCAGATAAGTACCATTTAAAATTATCTAATCAACATGTACATAGCAAAAAGAATGTAGTGAGTCGTACTATCTTTTAAAAAGATCACTTAATTTCAATTTTTAAGGAAAATTGATGGACAAATACTTTAATTCCGTGTTGAACAATTCTTTAATCAATTACTAATTGCCTTTTTCTTCCTTAACAATAAAAAATAACTTTTATTAATAATATAATAACGCAAAAAGGAATATTTTCATAACATATTCACTTTTTATGTGCTATATCTTTAACAGAATCATATTACTTCAAATAGGGACCTGCTTTCAGAAAATATGTATTCAAAATCTGGAAGTACCAAGTCCTAAGGTTCTACAGTTCCCAAAGTCTAGGGAAATCACTGAGTTATGATTATAAATATAATATAAAAACTTGGGATCAAAACTGACCATAATAGCCTCAGTTAATTTCATGAAACTTATATATTAAAAAAACTTTCTACTAATACTTTGATAAACAACATTGATAAATTTAAATTGCAAGCACCCGATTACAATCTTTTTCAAATCATAGACTTAAAAAGTTTTAATTAATCAATTCTTGTGCATTTTGAAAAATATGAAATTAAAAATTCAGGAATGTGATTATTTTTCAACAATTTTAGAAGCATAACAAAAAAAAACAAGAAAATTTTTTAAAAAAATAAGCATAAAAGAAAAATAATGAAGGGGCTAAAAATTGTAAATTCGTGTGAGAACTTCAAGCTTAAAAATAATAAAAAGCAATATATAATGCAATTAAATTTAAATCTGAGATTTAAAGCTTATATTTAAAGATAAAAAATAGGAGGTTTTCAAAAATCCAGTTGATGGAAACATTTTTTGGAGGAACATTAACCTATTCAGGCAAGAAAGAATATGACTTCCGTATTCAGAGAGATTTTGTTATGATACATTTTTATTGAGTTCAAAAATTCTTTAAACATGAATTTTTATACGAATTTTATACATTATATTAGTTCAATCTAATTTATTTATTATGAAAATCAATTTATTAATTTCTTTTTATAACTGTAAACTTTTTAACTGTGGATGTTAATCAAGATTTTTCTAAATATTATAAGTGTTTTATTTTGTATTTTAATTTTGAAGATTACTAAAACTGTTTTTATTATAGATAAGAAAATAATATAAAGAATAATATATAATTATTAATTTCCCTTTATTACTGCAAACTTTTTTAACTGTCGTGTTTACTCAATACTTTTTCAAAAGGTTATACATGTTTTGTTTTGTATTTTAATTGCAAAAAATTATTTAAACTGTTTTTATGCAATATTAGTAAATAATATCAAGAATAATATATAATTATTAATTTCTTTACATTACTGCAAACTTTTTAACTGTGGGAGTTTACTCAATACTTTTCTAAATGTTATAAGTGTTTCATTTTGTATTTTAATTATGAAAATTATTTAAAACTGTTTTTATTCGATATAAGTTCATAATATTAAAAACACATAATTTAACTTTATGAATCATAAGCCTTTGAAACCTCACATTTTATGGCATAGGTTACTTTCTCTATAATACAGCACATCATTTAAAAACTATTATATCCATATGATTATACAAAAGAATATACATTATAAAAACAATTTACCTCCATACTTGCTACCATCAGCGGTCATAGCATTTAAAGAAAGATTAGTCTGTACATAACCAGGACTAACAACACATACGTGAATATTTGTGTGGCTTAATTCTGATTTCAAAGTATCAAAGAAGGCTTGGGTAGCATGCTTAGATGCAGAATCTTATAATGGAAAGAAAACAAATATTAATAAAAAACTATTCTAAATCATACTAACATAGATTAAACATTGTAAATTTACTAACAAGGATTAAACATATTAAACATACAATCGTTAATTAAACATACTAGCATGGATTCAATATTATGAGTAAAAATTACAAGTAAACATAATAGCATAGATAAATTACAGTCATTAAACATACTAGATGGATTAATTATAGTAAGGAAATATATTATAGATTGAACATCGTAAACATTAAGAGAAACATTCATCAAATTAGACTCAAGATAAAACTTAAAATAAGCATATAACAAAAGTCATTTTTAGGGAGAACTTAATAAGTTTCAAAGTATAGCATATATTCAGTGTTGGTAAATGGAATGTACATAATCGTATAAGCAGTTATTTACAGGCAGACACATTTATGCGGGTTTGTTTAAAGTAAGAATTCCTCTCGCCATTCGTCTGTATCCATGGCAGTGACTATTGTAACGAGGTATAACTATTTGAAACAGGGGTGTGGGGTCACTGTTTAGGACAGGTTTTGGCTCAGGTCGCCGAGAGAAAGGTAATATTTTTCTCCAGTCTACTGTGTTAGCCCAAACTTGAAGAGAAGCTACCCTTCCTGAAATGCACAAGTCTTGTTTCCATAGCAGCACACAGCCTCAGACTTAGTGGCTGGGGGAGTTCTTACTGTACACAAACTATAAAGTACATGAAATTCATCAAGGTAAAAAAAAAAAATAAACATTTAAGTTTAAATATGTGTAGTAATTTACAGTATTTTCGTAGTGAACAGTGGTGTATTTTAATGACAACTAATATTTAATAAATTTTTAAGTATAAGGCCTTAATTAATGAATTAATCAAAATAAATAATTCCTAAACATTGCAGAGGAAAAATATATTTGATTATGTAAAAAACTTGATTTGCTTTTAAATTTATAAAAATGGAGAAAAATAAGTTTACACATTTCGTGTACTTGACAATAAGAGCTCAGTCTCAAGAATCATCAGAAGAAATAAAGATAAAAACAGATTTGAAAAAACAAACACAAAGTTGCGAATAAATGAATGACAAATAAAATGAAGGTGACACAAAACTCTGTTTACTGAGACACAACTATATTAACTGATTATCTATTAACTGTAAAAACGGTATTAACTGAGACACAAATCAGGAGAGGATGCATTTCTATATTAAGGGAAAAGATAAGGAACTTATGCTATTAACAAGAGGATAAGTACTTAGATGAATGAATAAATGTGGCAGTAAAGTGAGAATGAAGGCTACGGTATAGTTATCTTGACACAAACAATAATAATCCAGACTTCCATAGCCTAGCTCTACACCAACTCCAAAATAAATACTCAGAAGTTTTTATGAGATACAAGACAGAAACAAATCTAAATTAATTTATTCAGAAATTGTAAACATAACTAAGATAAACTATATTCTAAAAACTCTACTCTCTACTTACATTTCGGATGAACACTGTGGTTTAAATCACTACAATATTGGATGTACAGTACAGCATACAGCAGTGCTCTTCCTAAGCATTTTTCTGTCCTGCCTGCCCTTTGATCCCTATAAATGCATCCCCTTTGCATCTTTTATGAAAAAATCCCTTAAAAATACTGCCTTTTTATTCATATTCCATTTTAAAAAAAAGTAATTCACTGTTTAAATAATAATTACACACTGGTAAAAATTATCTGAGGATTATTCTAAACTGGTTAAATTTTTATAAGTTACTCTTTTTTTTTGGGGGGGGGGAGAAAGGTATATTAATGAATTTAAGTGATTTCAAGTTTTAAAATATTTTTTTTAAGTAAATACCCTTTTTTTTAAATGCACATTTAAAAGCTCTTATAATTTTCAGTTCAAATTGTAGAAAAAAGCTTTCAAGTTGTTTATCAATTATCAATTAATCATCACACAATTTTTTCTCTTATTTTGATAATGAGTGAGAATTACTTTTTAAAATATACACATAAAATAGTATATGAGGGTAATTTAAATATTGTTGAGAATCAAATTCAGTTATTACATAATATTACAAGTTTTGATGAATTTTTACGGCATTAATTGAGTACCCTTTCAAAACTCAAAATGCCCTTTTTTATTCTTAGGGAAAACTCTGCATACAACATTAAATCAGCAGTTTGAATCCCTACATATAAATGTAACAAAAATCCAAAACAAAAAGGTGAGCTGATATGACAGATGTTGAAATAATCTTGGTATATCAAAATTAAAATTAAGCCCAAGGTTCCAACATTATGCAACAATAGATTGCTTATATATTGAATTCTTGATGAAGAACATATTTATCATGCTATCTTGATCTTGTTCCATGAAGCACATCTAGTTTGCTTGATGTATTGGTAAGCTGAATGGTGAATGCTTCAGCAATTTTCAATACTGACAAGATCTTTTTGGGAATTCACTTTTTTTCATAAGCCTCAATTTTTTTAAGACTGAAACAAGATTAGAAATGTTGATTGCTACAAAATTCTGTTTCTATTTACTCAACCTCAGGTGCTGTACTAAACAAAACAATAACAGTTTTAGCAAATGCATTCATTGTTCCAATTTTTTTTTAAAAAATCTCTGATATCTTATGAATGGCAAAGGTTCAATTAACATTGAGAATTGAGATCAGTAAACTAAAGTTAACAAAATATTAAAAATAATTGAATTTTATGAAAATAATAACCATTTTCTTTTAACTAAACAGATTAAAAATAATTTCAAGTCATATAAAAAAACAAATACTCTGGAGCTAAATCTTACAAGAATCAAAGAAACTATTATTTGTAATTGCAAATGTGGATTATAATGAATACTCACAAGCTGATCTGAATGGAATGGCGATTTTTCCTTGAACACTACTAACAGCAACGATACATCCAGAGTTTCTCTCAATCATTGATGGCAAAATGGCTGCAAAAATAAATCTTTTTTTTTTTACCGAAAAACAATCAAAATTAAAATATATTTTAAAAAACTGATAACACAATACAGTACAACATAGATTACCTAAAGAAATTGGAATTGAAACATCATTAAAAAATTGAAACTTCATTAAAAAATCGAAATACTTTAATTATTTAGGTTCATCAATAATCTGATATCAATCATAATAAGTAAGTTTTAATTGAATAACTTACACATATGTTCATAAGGACTTAAAAAACTTTTTTTTTCTCTTTTTTTTTTTTGATATAATAACATGATAACAAGATTTTTGAAAGTTAAAGTTTTATTAATTTATATAAATTTGTATTAATTAGTCTTATTTTTAATTTATATAAATTGTATGATTAGACTTTTGATTCAGTTAAAAACAGAGAAAATATTACTCACTTAAAAATACAATACATGAAAAAGATATTAGGTTAGTCATCTAAGTAATTTATTGAAATCAAAATCTTCGAGTACAGATATGATCACATAAAATGACGAGTGCAGTATTGATCAATTTCACTGAACCTCTATAAATTTAAACGTTATGAAAAACAATATATAATTTGCTTAACCCCTTAACTGCCGAGTGAAATTAACGTGATTCACTCCCCAGTGCCACCGTTTTTCGCTCAAGTGCACTTTCTTACACGGTGTTTGGAGTGGGAAAAATGATACACGCTTTGCAATTTAAAAACAGTTTCATTTTACAAGAAAAAGGAAAGAAAGAAAATACAAAATTTAAATTAAATAATAAAAATACAATATAAAAGATGTTAAAACTTAGCTGCTGTATGATAAATCCTGAAACATGGTTGGACACATAAACCAACATCACATTCATCGCACTGATAGCGGGATTCACGACGAATTTTTTTTCTTGAACAAACAGCACATTTTCGCGA